CATATATATTTCTAGAGCAAAAAAAAAAAAAAAGATGGGAAGGTGTTTTTTTTTTTTTTTTTTTTTTTTTTTTTTTTTTTTTTTTTAATTTTCATTTTTGGTCTTTTTGAGACCGGGTCTCCCTGTAGCCACAGCTGACCTGGAATTTGCTATTGAGACCAGGCTAGCCTCGATCCATCCACCTCTGCCTCCAGAATGCTGGGATTAAACACAGTCTAACTTTATTTATTTTTTTAAATTTTATGTGTATGATTGTCTTGCCTGCATGTATGTCGGTACACCTGTGTCATGGAATGCCCATGGAGGCCAGAAGAGGGTATTGGATCACCTGGAACTGGAGTTGTGGACATTTGTTAACTACCATGTAGGTGCTAGGAACCAAACTGCTGAGCCATCTCTCCAGCCCCTACATTTGAACTTTTTTTCTATGTAGATTTTTTTTATTGAGTTTTTGTGCATTTCATACAAAATATCTTAACCATATTTAGACTCCCTCCCCCATCTGTACCTCCCCATACTGCCACACACACCAGATTTTGTGCATTCTGTCATATATGTTAAGGCCTATCAAGCCAAGCTTTTGTACCTAGATACCCCTCAATGCAAGTTCATCCACTGGAGTCTGGTCAGCCTATCTAGAGTTACTTACTTAAAGAATAACTTTGGGGCTGGAGAGATGACTCAGCTGTTAAGAACACTGGCTGTTCTTACAGAAGACCTGGGTTTGAATCCCAGCATGCATACACATAAAAAAATAAAAATAATAAAAAAAGAATAACTTTCCCTCAGCCAGCAGCAATTGGTTTGCCAACAGTTCCTAGGCTGAATTGGGGCCTGCTGCCATTCCCTCAGTTCTGTGTTGGGTTTTTGTCTGATTGATTCCTCAATGGGTCTTGTGTCACCATTGCTGCAAGCTCAAAAGAGCAAGTTCCCAGAGGCCTGAAAGTCTCTCTTTCCTTATGTTCAAGCACCAACCCTGGCTATTAAAATCTTTCCACCTCTTCCGCAATGGTCCCTGAGCCATGGGTGGATGGGGTTTATTATAGAAGTCCTATCCAAAGATGTGCATTCTGTAGTCCATTATTCTCTATACTTTGCGCAGTTGTGGTCTTCTGTGTGCATTGTACTCTGTTGCGTGAAGAATCTTCACTGATAAGAGTTGGAGGGTGCATTAGTATTCTCTCTACCCGTGTTTCTGAATTTTTAAAAATATTTTATTATTTTTATTTTATGTGTATGTGTGTGTTGCCTGCATGTAGGTAAGTGCACCCGTGTCATACAATGCCCACGGAGGACAGAAGAAACTGTCAGATCCCTGGAACTGGAGTTACAGTTGTTAGCTGCCATGTGGGTGCTGGGATTCGAACCCAGATATTCTTCAAGAACAGTGCTCTTATCCGCTAAGCCATCTCTCCAGCCCCCTCTACCTCTGAACTTTAAGTGTTAAAACTTTTTGTTTTAACATAAACCTGACTTCTATAAACCCACAAGTCTGTTTTCCTGTTTTTTCCCTAGGCCAACAGCTTTACAGTCTCCTCAGTCTCTGCCCCTTCCTGGCTTCACCGTTTCATCATTGGTAAGAAAGGGCAGAACCTGGCCAAAATCACTCAGCAAATGCCAAAGGTAGGGTAACATTTAAAATCTGGTACATTGAGTTTGTCAGATACTGAGGGTGTTTTGCTATTTGTCTTGTCGATGCTCTGAAGACTGTGGATTGTTGCCAGGCTTCATTTATCCTGTCGGTACAGGTGGCTTGAATAGATAAAACTGGGACAGGATAAATGTGTTAGGAATATGTGTGCATACGATATTAATAAATATCTTCAGCATGACATTTAATGATTACAGTATAATGAGTTGATGGTGATTTAAAGAGCAGCACATGGGTACAGACTTCAGTGTTTGCTTCACCAGCCATCTTGTGCTCTGTGTTGCTGTCCTAACCAAAGAGGAAACCATGCAGAGCCCACTCTCACGTTTACTCCTATTTTGTAGATATTAGTGTTATCCAGATTATTTGTCGTTTCACTTTTCCTAGCCTCAGATTCCTGTTTTACCTGGATGGAGGCAAACTGATTTCCCTTTCCAACTACCTAACCCCTTGTATGTTTTAAATGCAGGCAAGACATTGAGCCTGGTCAGGTGGGGGGCTGGAGAGATGGCTCAGCAGTTAAGAGCACTGACTGTTCTTTCAGAAAACCCAGGTTCGATTCCCAGCACCTACATGGCAGCTAACAGCCATCCATAACTCTAGTTTCCAGGGGAATTCTGACCTGGGGGCACTGCACGACCACGGGTGCACTTACATATATGCAGGCAATACTCTCAGGCACATGAAATAAAAATAATATAATAATTTTTTTTTTTTAATTGTCTTTGGGCTGAGGAGATGGCTCCATGGTTAAAGCATAAGGACTAAAATTTGGATCCTCAGAACCCACATAAATGCCATGTGGACATGGCAACCCACCTGTAATTCCAGCCTTAGAGGATCCTCAGAGCAAGCTCGTTAGCAAGACTAACCATATCAGCAAGCTCTGGGTTCAATTGAGAGATCCTGCCTCCATGAGTAACTGGAAGAGCAATCCAGGGATGATTCTCGACATTTACCTCAGCCTTTGGTAGAGGAGCAAGTGCGCACAGGCATGCATGTGCGCGCGCACACACACACCCGCGCACACACTCTCACATGAAATTAGAAAGGGAAAACACTGTCCTTGACATCTGTCTTACTCTTTATACAAAGTGGAATCTGTAGCCAGGTGTGGTGGCACATGCCTGTAATCCCAGCACTTGGGACGCAGAGGTAGGCAGATCTCTGTGGGTTTGAGGACAGCCTGGTCTACATAGTGAGTTCCAGGTCAGCTGAGGCTACAGGGAGACCCTGTCTCAAAAAGACCAAAAAGCAAAGTGGAATCTGCCTTCAAAAAGAGAAAGAAATATATGAGAACGTGAACAGTGGTGATGTTTGTGGATTAAGGGCAAGTACAGTGTGAAGAACTTTCCAGTTCCTGTTCTTTACAAAAGGAATGTGTATCAGAACATAATATTTAGTGCCATCCCTTAACCCTTCCTTGCAGTTCTTTGTGGTGCTGGTGGATGTGACCCTCAATGCCTGTACAGCCACATAGCAGCTGTGCTATTTGGCCTTGGCCATTCCTTCCCTCATTTTGGTCTGCTAGGTTCATATCGAGTTCACAGAAGGTGAGGACAGGATCACCCTGGAGGGCCCCACGGAGGATGTAAATGTGGCCCAAGAACAGATTGAAGGGATGGTCAAAGACCTGGTGAGTGCCTGTCTACGCAGTCCATTTGCTGACCAGAAGGGAAACTCGCTAAGGTGGAGATAGGTAGAAAATCATGTTATGTGGGTTTCATGTGGATGGGCTTAGAGACAAGTGTGTTCTGCTATGTGAGTACTAGGTTCTAAAACAGCTAGAAGCTGAGGTTCCCAGAGGACTGGATAGAGGAAACTATTTTGAAGATAGGATCTTTCAAGGTGTCAGAGGGGCAGTCTTGAAGCAATTCCTTCTTGAGGTAGAAAAAGCAAGCACTGATGTCTTCTAGATTTGGGGCCTGACTCAGTGTCTAAATGACCAGACATATCCTGGAACCTTCATCAGTTGAACTTCCTCCTCCCACAGATTAACCGGATGGACTACGTAGAGATCAACGTTGACCACAAATTCCACAGGCACCTCATTGGAAAGAGTGGAGCCAACAGTGAGTGAGACTGAGGGTAGTGCAGGGCCCTGGCACCCTGTAGCCCTCAGTTGATGGGCCTCAAATTCATGATCTTCTGCTTCAGCCTCTTGGGTATTGGGTCCTCGGGGCAGATAAGCCATGCACGGTACTGATCATGCAATCTCCTCCACCTTCCTAAAGAGGCCACTTTTCTTTTCCCCTTGAACCAAGGTCAGTTTAGAGCCATGTGGTCTGTTGCTAACCTGTCGCTTTCAAACATCAGCCCTCCTGGGGTGACCCAAGGACTGCATTGAAAGGATTGTATCTTTACTCTTCTAAACCTGCTGAGGTTAGCCCACCAGTGTTTATGGAACACTCCAGGTCACCCTCTAGAATCATCAACTCAGAGAGGAACACTGATAAATGAGCAGTCACGTGCCAGCTCAGGTTTAATATTTTCACTTGCTGATTCGGACTGTAGGGATAACACAAGAATGCAGTAGCTTTACTGATGTGTGTTAAAGCGTACCATCCCTGAGAATTGATGATGAGTGCTGAGAATTGAATCCTCGCCCTTGCGTGCGCTAAGCCAAAGATTCTTCAACCCCAGATTGGGTGTCTATATAGCTTAGCCTGACCTTGAATTCTTGATATTGCCTCAGCCTCCTAAAAACTGGGATTACACCATGCGCCTTTAGTCCCAGCACTCAGGAGGCAGAGGCAGAGGCAGACAGATCTCTGTGAGTTTGAGGCCAGCCTGGTCTACATAGTGAGTGCCAGGCCAGCTGAGGTTACAGGGAGACCCTGTCTCAAAAAGACCAAAAAAAAAAAAACCTGGGATTACACACCTGCTTCTCTCTGATGCTTTATTTTGTTTGAGACAGGATCTCACTATGTAGCCTTGGCAACCTGGAACTCCATATTTGGACCAGACTGTCCTTGAACTCACAGAGATCTACCTACCTCTGCTTCCCAAGTGCTGAGATTAAAGGCATGCACTACCACCGCGCTCAGCCCTCTGATGTTTTTTTTAAGCCACTTCTGTGTGACTATGCTCATAATGCATGCTTGCATATTCTCCATGCTGTGGGACTTACCTTTAGATAATCCAGATATCAGTCAGTTAACAGGAGATCCTCTTGGGGGTTTCCTAATGATTGGCTCCCATGTATCCTCTTTTTATTACATGTAAATATAAGCTTATCTGCTCCATGGTGGCCTGTGAATGGTAAACTCTCTATGGTGTAACTCTTGTATTTTGTGGCATTTTCTTTCACAATAGTAATAATCTCCTAGCAGAGTGACCTCACTCAGCACTGACTTTGGCATGCGGTTCTGTTTTCTTCTGAACCAGTTCCTAACTCGTTTTCTTCCATAATCGGGAATCTGCTGCTCACACCACCCCCAACCTACCCCTACTTTTACTCTTCTTGTTCTGTGCCATTCCACCCTGGAACTGCTGGGTCTTCACATCAGTTCCTATCAGATTGCTGTCTCTGATCATACACTGCTGGAAATGTATATAGAGCCCACCTTGGACTCTGCTTTTCCTCTCTATACAATATGCAGGTTCCTGTGTCATTTCTTGGATTACAGGGTTTCTTCAGAGTTTTAAGAGACCTGGATCTTGAACAGGGTCACCATCTTCTTTCTGCAGAAGTTGGCAAGAGGAGGATTTGCAACTTTGTGTTTTGCAGACATTGAGGTGCACTTAGTTTGGGTCAGAACTTATTCTGGAGTCTTTGGATAACAGCACTTTTAAATGGCTGGGCATGGTGGTACACGCCTTTAGTCTGCCCATAGTCCCAGCACTTGAGGGGTAGAGGCAAGTAGATCTCTGAGTTGGAGTCCAACCTGGTCTATGTATCAAGTTCTAGGCCAGTCAGGGCTGTATAGTGGGACCCTGTATCAATTTAAAGAAAAAAAGGTCCATGGGGTGGTTGTGTCTTTATTTAATCCATGTAATTTTTTTACTTGAATTGTAGTTTCCATAACATTAGTAACACCTGGTATCTCAAGTATTCTGAGACCCTAGGCATACATAAGTACACATTTGGTTGGTTTCAGTCATCATTTTAAGCTTTTAGAGTTGTTCCAGCTTATTCAGGGCTAGAAGACTAGTGCCCTACAAACTCTGCAGTCCTTTAAAGAGTATAACCAGTTCTCATTTTAGATAATGAAAATTCTTGTTTTATTAATGGACATGAATTATTGATGCTACACAGGCACACGCGCACACACACACACACGCGCGCACACACACACACACACACACACACACACACGCGCGCGCGCGCGCGCGCGCGCACTTTCTTCTTTCTTGCCTGTCAGTCATAGCTTTTGTATTCATGATATGTTTCCTTTTTGTCCTAAGTCAACAGAATCAAAGACCAGTATAAGGTATCTGTGCGCATCCCTCCCGACAGCGAAAAAAGCAACCTGATCCGAATTGAGGGGGACCCCCAGGGCGTGCAGCAGGCCAAACGGGAGCTGCTGGAGCTTGCTTCTCGTATGGTAAGCCCAGCAACCAGGTCCCGCCAGAAAGGTGCAGTCTGTATCTGTTGATTCCCTCTAAAGAAAAGCATTGCTGGAATATGTGGTCCTGCATAGTGGAAGTCATCAAATTCCATGTTGGATTGACTCACTTAAAGCCATGTTTCTTTTGTCGTCCAAGATCACCAGCATATCTGTACTCTTGACCCCTGACTGCTAGAGAAGCACAGAGGTCCCATGTGCATGGCTGCCAACTCTACAGATAGGCTATCACCCCTGGACTTTGAGAGGATCCCAGGTGACTCTCCTATGTGGCCAGACTTAAGGATCACTGCAGTCTCAACTTCCTATAGCCTGGGGTGCCCAGGAATGAAGCTCATGCTTAGTTGAGCCAAAACCACTCTTAGTCAAACATAGCAATCATGCTGCAGTGATTCTTGACTCACTCCACATGAAAGTCACTGACTTCATATAAGAATCAAAAAGAGTTGAATGGGGGCTACTAATTAAGTCCTACTGTCTGGCAGTCCTATTCATACTCTCATCCCAGTCCCCATGCTAGGAACCTCCAATTGGAAGACCTTTTCATGGGCAGTGATTTTTACTTTCCTCGGCTGTAATCCAGGGTGAAGTCTAGTCTAAGGGCCTCCTTTCTGATCATGGGCCTCTTATCTTCATACCTTGCCCTGGAGTGTCTTCTGCCTAAAATGAATCACTGTCATCAGATATCAGTCTGATCCATCAGAATTCTGGAAAATGACTGATAGACTGATAGTATTCTTCTCTGAATTTCAGTCCTGTCTGATATGTATTTCTTCTGACACTTTTATGGGGACTGTGGAAGATAATTGAGATTCATGTAGGTTCAATGTTCTGTGATGAGGCATTCTTTCTTAATTATCCATATAGGAAATGTGGTCCAAGCCCCTTGTACTCAGGAAGGACTATCTCCCTGCTGTACAGAGTGCTGGGCCCCTGTGGTTCTGGTAGAAATGAGCTGCTAGGTTGCTTTGGTGTTCAGTGCTACTTAGCAGTTCTGGCTAAAGGGCCCTACAGTCTATTCTTTAATTGTACTGTGTTCAGGAAAATAACTCAGGATCAGTGTAACAGTGTGATTATTGGATTGAGCATGCATTCTGTAACAGATACTCCTAATGGCCTGTTGTTTCCAGGGGCTGCTGCAGGTGGCCACTTGGGTACAACCTCACATGCTGCCTGGTGAGGAGGTTTAATAGCCTTTTAAATTATATTTTAGGAAAATGAGCGCACCAAGGATCTAATCATTGAGCAGAGATTTCATCGCACAATCATTGGGCAGAAAGGTGAACGGATTCGTGAAATTCGTGACAAATTCCCAGAGGTAAAGCTTTCCCAAAGGCAATCCTTCTTCTTTTTCTTTTTTGGTACTGAAACTCAAACCTCTAGGACATTATGCATGCTGAGCAAGTGATCTGCCACTCTATTGTGTCATCAGCCCAGACATATTTGTTAGTCTTTAGTAATCTAATTTGTATTTGAGGAATATTGAGTATTTCACTTTTTAAAAAACATATTTGTACCGGGCATGGTGGCGCACGCCTTTAATCCCAGCACTTGGGAGGCAGAGGCAGGCGGATCTCTGT